GGGGGAGGAGGGTTACTACTCTGACCCTGAAAGGAGTTACGAAGGAGTTACGAAAAAGAGGATGGAGAACAACATTTTAAGACGGAGGGAGTAATAAAGAGTGTGAGATGAAGAGGAGTCGGGCCAGATCCCTTTCTTCTTGAATGGAACCCAAGAATTAGAGCTTATACAAGGGCTTTTTATGGGCCTCCTTCGTAGACCGGGCCTCGTATCATTGGGCCTAGCACAGCACTCCCGACTCCGTATTACTCTGTCACAAGTCTCTTAGTTAGTTGACACAAAGGAAGGCAAAATGCATGCAAAATATCAAAAAGATATCTCATCTCCCCGGACTTTCATGGTACATTACACAACATTGTGTCACATTATGTCATAAAGCACAGTACGACAATCGCAACAGTCTTTAAATAAGTAATGTTATAACATTACCAGACCGAGGGACATTTTTATTTGAGTTTTCCATGAACAAAGATCAGTCCTTGTTGTCTGGAATGAGCACGACAGACCCGGAAGTCTGTCTGCTCTCCAGGATGGCGTGAGCTTGTGCTGCTTGAGAGAGGGGAAAGGTGTGATTGACGCGTGGCCTCAGGACGCCAGACAAAACATTAGCAAACACCTCGCCAGCACATTCCAGCAGGTCATCGCGCGTGGCTATGTAATGGAACAGTGTTGGTCTGGTCAAGAACAGTGATTTTGCCCCGAGGGCAGGTAAGGGCACAGGATCTGGTGCCCCAGATGCCTGTCCCAGACACACCATGTATCCACGCACCTTCAGGCATTCTAGGGATCCCTGATCAGACACGCACACACAAAAGTTTGTACATAAATATGACATCGGGTCAACAATGTAACATCAAAAGGCTAATTTTTTTTCTATCACAAACAAGAACGAAAGCTTCCAAGTTCTGCAAAACGAGATCAGCATGATGGTTTATGACCTAGACAAGTTATGATGCCACAACACCTTTACTCTATAGGGTCTGTTTGAATGGAGACAGCTGAAGGGGATGCTGCTATATGTTATATATATATGGAGTATATCTCAGATTCTATAAAGATCAAAAGATTTTTGGTAGTTATAAAGAAGTGAGGATTAGTACCTGAAAGGTGTCTTTCCCAACAGAATCATAGACAACATCAACTCCTTTTCCAGATGTGATCTCATTCACACGGGACACGAAATTCTCTTCCTTGTAAAGTATGGTGTGGTGGCACCCATCTTCTCTTGCTTGGGCTGCCTTTTCTTTAGTTGAGACAGTCCCGATGACTGTGGCACCAAGTGCATTTGCCCATTGGCACACAAGCGAGCCAACTCCACCTGCTGCTGCATGAACAAGAACAGTGTGTCCAGGTTCAACCTGAAATAGCATGATGGCATACTCTCAGAAAGCAAACCCATAGAAATTTACATTTCATGAAGGATGAAAGTGATCAATTAAAATGGAAGGGGGTGGGCCGTGGGGGTCAGCTAGCCAAGGACATTTAGATGTCTGAAAGTGACACGCACAATATTTTCTGTGTACAAAGATGCTAATCAAGAATGAACCCTGTATTTTCACAGTAAGTGTCATTTTGGAAGGAATCAGGTAGATTAAGAACTTGATATCACTCACTGTTAAGTAGTCATCATATAGAGCAATTGAGTATTGAGGTGGATAAAGAGTGGAATATGAAAAAAGTAATTAAATATTGTTTTTTATTTTAAAAAACATTGTGAGATAAACTTTTCCTCCAAAACAGCACTTTTTTGTGCACCGGAGGGAGTAATCACTTAGCTACATGAGCATCAGAGCATTGAGCACATGATATAGACATATAGTTATGTACTTATGTTTGCCCCGGTTGCATTGTGTGCATGACTGGGAATGGGCGCCCGAATGCAGTAAATTGTTAAAATGATACTCCGTACATTAAGTGTACCTTGAAGCAACTGCGAACTAACATATGAGCAGTCATTCCCTTCAGAAGTACACATGCTGCTGTGATGGAGTCAATAGAAGGTGGAACAGGCACCACTTTATTTGCAGTGAGGATCTGTTCTTCAGCATATGCACCCATTGGGTGGCCAGCATATGCTACAATATCCCCAACTTTTCTTCCAGTTAATCCAGGACCAATGGCTGTCACCACTCCAGCAGCTTCCATACCTGTAAAAAATTAAGCACAGTGTGTCTTCAAAGTAGATGTATACATGTGTGTGTGTAAAATTTCACATTTGCTGTATGGCCCAAAAGTTATCATAGAAAGTGAATTCATGAAAGACAACATGCACCATCCCATCAGCTTGGTCTGTTTTAGAAAGAAATGGCCGACTGAGAACTTAGTCCCCATCTGGTTAAAGTCATTGGATTAAAAAAGTTAAATCTGCTGAATTATTTGAAGGGAAAGAAGCATTCAGAAGGAAAATGGAAAAATATGCTTTTTAACAGTTATAAGTACTTTTGATGCTTTTTTACTAAAGCAGAAGAATGTTTCTTTTTTTAAGGGAATAAAAAATCACTTCCAAAGTGAATAAATGAGAAAACATTGAGTTATTCAACGAGGCCCTTATTCTATGGGCAGCATAAGCTACAACTATTTACGGACTATTCTTTTATCCACACTAGGTTCTATTGCAAAGATGGTATCTTTAGGATAGCCACACACTCTCTCCATCCCATAAAAAGTGTTGTATTTCATAAAGTTAAACTTATAACTTTCAGTAAGATACAGCTACTGTAAACCATCCAAAGTACTCATTTACTCCCTCAGTTTCTCAAAACTCTTCCGGGCTAATCCTTTGCGCACCCCATAAAACACTTCTCCTACAGTCCTACCCCACCTAACTATTTTTTGGGACAGAAACAAACTTTCAGGCGTGAAGCTTCAGACGGATCAAGGAGAAGTAAACCTGGTGTAAATGGCAATGCAACAGCCTTATAAGACCCTCTGCGGAACTGTACATCAATGAAGTTGAGGCCAATTGCCTGGTTTCTCACCTTGATCTCCCCTTCCTTTGGCTCTCCTACTTCAATATCCTCCCACTTGAGGACCTATTACAAACCGAGCTCACCACTTAGCGACTGAAACCGTACTTTCGGCTGATAATAAGATCAAATCCACACACGGCATTCGAATTTGAAGACAGGGAGAGAAATGGATATACCTCGGGGCCCCCTGTCTCGTGAACCCTAATGGCTTTGACCATTCTGCTGCAGGAGGAGACTGCTTCCGGCGATGTGGAGTGAGCTCTCACTGTGAGACGAACCTCGATCTTCTTCTTAGCAGCGATTCGGTGATGATAAGAATTGGGTGGGATGGAAGATGAATCTCCTGCAAGCTGACGAATTTGAAAAACTGGCGATGATAATCGGCTTGATAAGCCGCCCAACTGCTTTATCATATCGCCTCTCGTGTATGGATAGGACTTGGGAGTGTAGCACATTGTGACATGCTTAGTTCAATTTTAACAAATTGAGAACAAAATTCATTCTACAATATTAATACTCTTTGAATTTTTGAATTAAACTTGATACGGAGTAATTTTTACTCTGTAGTCATCAAATAAAAAAATTGCATTGTGTGTTAGCATAAATTATTTTAATAGATTTATTTTATGTGTTTGTAATTTTATTTTATTCCACTAATAATTAATGTAAGTTTAATATGATTAATGATTAACATTTATCCAATTTGATTCGAATAACTTAAACTAAATGAATACTTTGGATCCAATAATGTATTTTTGAATTTGATTTTTGTGAATTTTTTTGAAAGGTATCCTAATTTTTAAAAATATTTATGGACAACAAAGACATTAGAGATCAACTCTTTATCACTAAGGTCCTTTTGATGAGTTTCGGAATGACGATATGTGCTTTGAAATCTAGAAAAAATGATACTCCGTACTTCCTCCGTCCCTATTTTGATTACTCCCTCCGTTCCTGAGTGTTTGTCCACTTTCATTTTTGCACACCATCCAGTGCACTTCTTTAATCCATTTTATCTTGTAATTTGTATATTAAAAAATTATAAAAATTATATATTAATAATCTATATGTTAAGACGAATCAAACAAGATCACACATGACTATTTTTAGGCTTACACATTGAGAGAATTTGATAAGTCAAAGTGCTGAGATGAACAGTTCCAAAAGTCAAATGTGGACAAACACTCAGGGACGGACCAAGTACAATTTTTTTTCTCTCCTCTCGATAACTTTTGTTTATTTACCCAATTTCATTAAGTATTTGATAAAATAAAATATTCCTGTCACCTCTTGTTTTGTAGAATTTTTGATGTAGTTTTTTATATGTAAATTTTATATCTTATTGATATAGCACTTTGTAAAAAAAATAATTTCAAAAAGTGAAATTTTTTTTCTCGTAACCCGCAATTTGTAATCAAATTGGAGACGGAGAGAGTATGAGTTTTGAAATCTGAAATAAAGTTATATGATGAAATCTAAAAACATGAATTAATTAATAATTAGCAGAGAGTGTCGGCAACGGGGTGATTGGAGGTAGCATTGATAACCGGTGGCAGGTGATGATCGAGCATTAAGGAAGATATCAATTTCTCACATTAATATTTTCCAAATTCAGAAGATATCGAAACTCTTCGTTTTGAAGATTTGTGATGTATGAAATTACCAAATTCAATTTTTTTTTATGACTCACCTAAGGTCAAAAAAGAAATCTGAATTAGTTAAAGTTAAAGATACAAAAATCATGTAATCAACAGTCCTAAAAAAACAACGCTCCGTTTGACAGAGAGGGTAACCATTTGGGGCTCGTTTGGCATGCGAGCATTCGACCGTTATAACGGTTGGATACATCCAGAACTTTGGGTTAAACAGAACAATAATTACCTGCACCCTCCTCAATTAGTCGGTAATTTCCACAACGCCCCCCGCGTTTCGAGTCTTATGAATTATGATGATCAGTTAATGCGCCATCTATTATTAATTTTTTTTCGCTTTCTT